CACACACACACACACACACACACACACACACACACACACACACACAGTCTCTCTCACTCACACACACACAGAGGCATACTGTCTCTCTCTGACACACACATACATACTCTCTGTCTCATTAACACATGTGCACACACATTCTCTCTCTCTCTCTCTCTCTCACACACACACACACACACACACACACACACACACCTCATCTAGCAGAGGACAGGGTGAGCAGGGAGGAATCAAACGAAAGGTTTGAAACTCTGGGCCTGTCCAATCTGCTGGTGGTTTAGGGTCATTTCACCAAATTACTTTGAATAGTTCCCTGTCCCATTTTTTGTTTGTCTGTTTTTAGGACAGGGTCTCAGTATGTAGCCCTGGCTGGTTTTGAACTCACAGAGATCCTCCTGCCTCTGCCTCCCAGGTGCTGAAATTACACACGACTCAATTCCTCATCCCGCTTTTTTAGAAGAATGGCTTGGTGGAGTCAAAGAGTCAGGCTAGCAGAGAGCCCAGTGCCCACCCTGGCTCTGTTCATAAGGGAAACGGTTCTCTGATTACCGCTGTTCTGAAGACAGGACTATGAGTCAGGGTAGGGATGTAAAAGCTCACTCCATTCCCTGGGAAGAGCCTGCACCCTGAAAGGAAGGAGGGGCTCACTGGAAGTGGCTGAGTCCCCGTGACTACGCTGTGTGCCCTTGGTGTCACTGCCTCAAGCCTTCCCCACTCTCTGTGTGAGATTCAGACCTCTGTGTGGGCGAGAACCCGAGAGTGCCTCTCAGCTGGGCTGAAGACTGGGGCTCTTGATGCCTGGCTCCGGGGAAGGCTCCCAGGTCTCTTGAAAAGACCCTCTCCAGCTCTGCCAGGGAGCCCAGCTTACCAGGGGCCGCGGGATGGGCTTCTGGGGCTTCTTGGAGCCCAGCTTCTTCATGGCGTTGTAATACTTCTTCTGCTCCTCCGTCATGAAGATGTCCTGGCCCCCTAAGTATAGAAAGACCACACAAGCATAATTCGGGGGTTCTCAGGAGCCTGCCTCCTGTGTGGAGGTGCCAAGCTCAACAACTTCAGACCTTCCTATCGCTCCAAATCTGCCTTTCCAGGACCCCTCCCTGTTCCTGTTCCCTGGGAAACCCTTATGGTTTTGTGACCTTCTTCCTTGGCCCAGTCAGCCGGACCTAGGCATCTCTGCGTACCTCGCTCAGTTTGGCTACAGCTTAATCGTGACCTCTTTGGCGTGTCTCCCTGGGCCTCTGCACGTCCCCACTCTTGATCACAGATGGGGCTAACAGTTCAAACTCACCCCTGAATCTCTTAGCTGGATGAGGGAAGGCAGAGACGGGCCAGCCGTCCCTCTGTTCTCCATGGCCACGTCTACACCCTCCCCACCTCAGAACAGAGAAGAGGCTCATCCCCACGAGAGCACACAGTCCTCCCTGCCCCCCCCTCAGGTGGAGCCAGTGCTCTACGTATCTTTTTCTTCTGCTGGTTGAAGTTATCGATGATGACACCAATGAACAGGTTGAGGGTGAAGAAGGAGCCGAAGATGATGAAGACGACGAAGTAGATGTACATGTAGAGGTTGTACTCCCACTGCGGCTGCTCCTCATACTGCAGAGGAGAGAGCAGGCAGGGTAGGCACACGGGAGGATGGGGCTGCAGTGAGGCTGTCGTGTATATGCGTGTGTTTGTGTCCAGGAGACTGTCACCATTGCAGGTGTATGGGATTCTGACTGACTGTGATCGAAGCGGAGGTGGTAGCCAGGGGTGAGTGGTAGAGCTGCATGCAGGTGATGGTGGCAGGCGAGGACATCTGGCGTGCCACGCTAAGGGGTGACTCATATTGGCATGTATACAGTCCCTGAGCCAATGGGAGGCCCCTCTGTCATCCCTCAGTCATCAGTATGACTGGGCTGGACACAAGGACAAGGACAAACTCATCTCTGTCTCTGCTGCCCCTCTCCTGACTGAGGATGAGTAAGCTACAGTGGGTTGGATCTGAGACACATTTGAGAATCTGGGGACTCCACCGAAGACCACATGGTCTTGCTGGAGGGCCAGGCCTGGGCATCCCTGGGAAGCTGAACCTGAGGCTGACTCGAGCAAATCCTGCTCCTCCTCCCACGAGGCCGGAAGCCTTAGGTGCTGGTTTTGTTGGGAGCAGCTAGAGACCACCTACCCCTCTGGAGTCCACGGCTGCATACATGATGTCCATCCAGCCTTTAAACGTCGCCTGTGAGGAACAGAGAATGACAGTCACCAGGCTTGGCACGCGGCTTCAGCTACAGAGGAGGGCTGGAGACAGTCTCCAAAAGGCTGAGTGGCCCGGGGAAAGACCTTCAGTGGGGCTAGCAGAAACCCCAAGAAGGCGGTGTGAGGCTCCTCAGTTGAGGCCTCAGGACGGGTAAGGCCAGGAGAAGGTCCACTCAGGAACACACACTTCAGATTCTAACACATCACACGGTCCAGACAGTGGCCTTGCTCAAAGACTGACCCCAGGGCTGACCTGACCAGCTGTGTCCTGCCTGGAACCACGGGATCCTTTTACCCCTGCTCCAGTGAGTGGCTAACAACTTGCTTTCCAGAAGGAAAGAAAAAAAATCCCTAACATATTTTCCAAATTCTCTGATGTAACTATTTCCACCATGACCTATTCCCACCACTATGGTGTGACCGGTGGGAGGAGATTCAAGAGCCATAGTGTTACAGAACACACACAGTGCAGGCAAGACAGAGGGCCCTCTCTCACTGAAGCTGGAGCTTGCTGGTTTGGCGAGACTGGCTGGCCAGCGAGCCCCAGCCATCCTCCTGTCTCCACCTCCCCAGTGCTGTGTTTACAGGCACATGCCACTACGTAGAGCTGGTTTCTGATGTGGGCACCTGAATCTGAACTCAGGTCCTCATGCTTGCGTGGAAGTGCACTTTATTGACCCAGCCGTCTCCCCATCCCCGTGGGTTGATTTCACAGCAGGTGTTACAGTCGCTGTACCATCCCGCTCATAAAGTAAATGGGCGTCTCAGAGAACCCGCACACTTTTCCTGCCAGCTCAGTCCCTGGGGAGTTGGCCGTCTTTGGTGTCTAGCCTGTGCCACCTAAAGAGGTCCATTTGATTGGTAGCTGGGGAGCTGGTCCTGTCCAGCGCTGGCTTGATCCCCATGTCACACACCTTGGACAGTGTAGACTCAATCAGAGACTCTGGGAAATTCTAGCCTCTTTGGGCCCTGAGACCCTACTTCAGGGATCCAGGATGCCCTGTTCCTGCACACACCGGGGTGAGGGACACATTTCCAAAGCACCAACGGAGGAAGGGGACCCTTGTTCTCTCATACTCACCACCTGCAGGAGGGCCAGGTACCCAGCCCCCACGTTGTCGAAGTTGACCTTCACCTTGGTCCAGTACAGCTCCCCAGTCACATTGAAGGACTCACACTCGCTCTTGTTGTTGACGATGGTGTAGTTGAGAGGCAGGTCGCCCTCCGTCTGGTTGATGCACCTCCCAAACTTCCCGGCGAAGAGGTTCACGCCCATGATGCTGAAGATGAGCCAGAAAATGAGGCAGACGAGGAGGACGTTCATGATGGAGGGGATGGCGCCCACCAGCGCGTTGACCACCACCTCATGGACAGAGAACGGACTCGGTTCTTGGGGTGGCCTGGAGCATGTGCTCTTCCCAAGGCCTCCCCCACCCCCGCTGACTAAACTTGCTGGCCACAGGTGGCTGTGGGCGTGAGACTGCAGAGTCTTCCAGTCGTGGAGGAAGCTGATGCCACAGCCAGAGCGCTGGCGGCAAGTGAAGGAAGTCAGAGAGAATCAAGAGGCCTTTTTAACTACGCCTAAATGCTGAGGTAACTCCGGAATACACCAGCCTTTCCTCTTCCAGCCCTCTTTTACTTTCAGCTATGATCTGAAAAACTCAACTTGCATAAAAATGGCGTCTCTGTTGGTTGAGGCTCCCAGGAGTCCAATGGGTAGGACAGGCTTAGAAAAAGCAGAAGGCTTTAGGTCCTGCTGGTCCTGAGTTCTCTGTGCTAAATTTCCGGTTTATTTTAGGGCTCCGCTAGGGGAGAGGATGGGTGCCCTGAAGTACACCCAGGGGACCCCCTGCTATGTCTGCAGAGTGCTATATGACTCCGCACACTCTTCTTGAGCTTCTAGAGGGAAACTCAGGCCCAATCATGGTCCCAGCTGCCCATGAATCACGAAGCTATCGACCACACAGACGGGTGGGAGCTGGGGTGGATTCCGTTGTGGTACCGAGGGTCCGAGTCAAGATAGGGATGACATTCTAAAGCAGATAGCGCATCCCGGAGCAGGTGGGAAACCCAGCTCCCCCAGGGCACCAGGCTTTCCGCAGAAACCCCAGGAGCTTGCCTTTGGCTGGCACTGTAGCCAGCAGCCACATCAGAGGCATTCCTGGCACCTAGCATCATTCTGTCCCTCTGGAATCAAGTGTCCTTGGCTCCCAAAGAGACATTTAACTCTGGTCCGATTACTCTCTTGTGGGTGAGTTCCTGCCAGGACTAGGCAGTGCAATGAATTGATGGTGTGGGCAAGGTTCAAAGCCATCAGCCAAATGGTGAGCTGTGTGTTAGTACCCGCCGGGGCAGGGGACAACAGACAGAGTTCTCCTAAGCCATGAAGAATTACATATGTTAAAACACACAGACACACACACATGCTTGCACACGTGCAAACACGCACATACATATGTACGCGCGAGGTTTCCTCCTTGTTACATAGCAGAGCTAATTCCTTTGCAGCGCTGGGGGCAGGGTGTCAAATACTCTGCTAGAGACCCCCCGCCTGCCCTCACAGTTTTTCTTGGGGGCTTTAAAATTCACCTCATAAAAATGGATGGAACTCGCAGATATGAAGTGAGGTGACCCAGTCTCAGGCAGACAAATATTGCTGCTTCCCTCTCATAGTGGATCCGGCTTCTAACTTTCATATATGTCTATCTATGTGGGTTTGAGTGTGTGGAGATACCTGCAAGGGGCCCGTGGGAGGTGGGGGAGAAGCTTTAAGGAAGAGGTGGGCACTAACAGACAATGTGAAAATGGGAAGGGGACAGAAGGGGACAAGAAGGGGTGGGGGTGGGGAGACGGGGGGGGGGGGAGCCGACAGGAACTAAGTATACGTAAAAATATCTGTTACTTTGCAGGCTAAACTGAAATTATTATTTTAAAAAAGAAACAGGGCCGCAGAGATGGTCCAGCCAATAAACGTGCGAGCCCGAAAACTTGAGTTTGGTCCCCTGAACCCAGGGTGGAAGGACACAGCCAATTCCTGAAAGTTGTTTTCTGATCTCCACATGCCTGCCATGGCCTGTGGGCCTCCATGCTCACGAGTGTATCACGCACACACACACACACTTTTATAAAGATATTAGAATTTCCCTTATATGCTCACATTCTTTGGTAAAATGTGGCACTTCCCAAATGCCTGTGTGATCACAAAAGCATTCGCTAAGCCAGGGATTTAAACTCGGCAATCTGTCATTTGTAGGTGAGAACACGGCCTACTCCACAACACCTTCCTTGGCCCTTGCTACCCTGTCCTTCACCACCTCATAAGGACATGGGGAAGGCAGCCCAGACCTGCCAGGAAGTGAGGGACTCCAGGTCAGCCTGCAGAGTGGCACACAAGGAGGCAGAGAGCCCTGGTGCCTACGGGCCTGGGTGTCGGCGAGACTGCTCCCGTTCCGCCCTGGAGCTGGAAGAACCCTTGGCGGAAGGTTCTAGACCACAGCCTCAGAGGCAGCGGGGAGACCCTCCCGGCTCCAGGCCAGGCCTCTTGGTCAGGAAGCTAGGGGTGTGTCCCCCTTGTTCCTCCACCTGCTAGGGCGGTAGAAGTTCTACTTACCCTCATGCCCTCAAATCGCGACAGGGCCCTCAGGGGTCGCAGTGCACGCAGTGTCCTCAGTGACTTGATGGGACCCATCTCAGCAAAGCCTAAGGTGTTGGCCACGAGGCTGACCAGCGAGACCTAGAGAAGGGAGTGGGTGGGGAGGCAGGGACAGTTCCAGAGACAGGCGGTGGACTCTCGGTTCCTCTTAGCTCAGGCTTCCAGGAGCTTTGAAGGCCTGGAGTAAGCCAAGACCGTCCTGTCTACTGGCCCTTCGTCCTGGGACATGTCATCCCTATTCTACCATTTGTGTGGCTGAACAGAGACAAAATCTGGGGTTCTAAGTACAATGTTTGAGTTAATCCTCTTCTCTTCCAAAGAAGTCTATTTGGGGGAAGAAAGGTCAGTCCCGGGTTGCATACGAGCACCAGACAGTCACAGGGTACTCCCTTAAGCTGGACTTTGTAACATTCTGACATCTTATGAGGACGTAGGTGGGGATGGGTAACACTGGAGCCTCTGCTCCCTCTGTCCTTTCCCCAGAACTCCCCCCAGTGGACCCCATCATGCTAAAGGTTCGAGAGCCAACACCCTCACTTCTCCACTCCCTAGTGACCACATCCGGAAATGGTGTCTCACCTAGACCCCTGCCTTTTACCCTGGTGCTGTGGAGGTGAGAAGGACCGCACAGGAGCCAAAGCCCTAACACTTTCTCTGTGCTGGGAAGCACTAGGCAGTAGGGGTGGCCAAGGGGCATGGAGGAAGAGGCCTGGCTAGTCTCCCTCTTCATCCCAAATAACAGCCCATGTTTTCACAAAGGCCTATATGTCTTTTCCTCCTCCTGTTCCCTCCACCCAGCCACTCTGGGGTGGCTTCTCAAAGATATCAAGCATAGTGTGTAGAAGGTTCTGACACACACATGGCATTAACTCCCCTCGTTAACTCCCCTCAGATCTGCTCGAGTCACCTCAGGGGTCCCATTCCTGCTCGGTGATTTCAAGTTCTGCCTTGCATCTTCCCCTCCACCCCACAGCCTGGTGCCTGTACTTCTAACACCTGCCCCCGCCTCCCTCAGCCCCCCGTTTTTTCTCCATGCCAATTCACCCTCAAACATAATACCAAATTGGGCCCCCCACCCCCTCTGTCTTTCTTTTTCCCAGACAAGGTTTTGTTATATAGTCCTGGCTGGCCTGGAACTCACAACAATCCTACTGCCTCAGTCTCTGGAGTCTCTGGATTTATAGGCTGTATTCTCATACCCAGCTAATGTGCTTATTTATCTAAGAACATCTACATTTACTGTGTGTGTGTGTGTGCACGTGCGCGTGTGCATGTGTGTGATAGTGCATGTGTGCATGTGCGCATGTGCGGAGATCAGAAGACAGCGTGTAGGAGTTGGTTCTTCCATTATATAGGTTCGGGGGCTGGAACTCGGGTCATCGAGTGCCTTTACCCACTGAGCCATCTCGCCAGCTGCAATGGGGTTATTTTCATTTACTTTATTGCCTGATGTCACTTCACCTCTAGGTGGGCTGAAACTTCCAGACCTAAGAAAGTCCTTGAACATGGGCCTAGGATCACCACCAGGGGACCTGGGACCACCGGAGGCCTCGGACCACCTGGGACCTGGGACCACCTGAAGCCTGGGACCACGAGAAACACACACACACACTGGGCTCCTGAGAGTCCCTAAGCGTACAATACCTGGGCTACCGAGACCCCCCTCCCAGGGACGCACACATATCTGGGTTCCTGAGACCTCCCTTCCTGGGGCGTACACACACCTGGGCTCCCAAGCTCCCATTCATATGGATGCACACACATCTGGGAACCTGAGCCCCCTTCCCTCACTGAAAGTAGATTCAGGACTGCTCCTCACCCTGAGCATTGTCTCCCCGCAATTCTCTCTGCCCCCCAACTTGACCCATCTGGCCTAAACTTATCCTGCGGTGCCCTGGAGTCCAAGAGGCTTGGAGAGAGGGTATTCCCAGTCCATCTGCCAACTGAGAGCTCAGAGAACATGCTTGCATATTGGACTTGCCATCCCAGGACACACCCTGGGGCAGACAAGGTCTCCCAGTGGTCCAGGGTTCCATACAGCCACAGTTCATACTTCGTCCTGTTCACACGACATGCCCACCGTATCTCCCAGGGGTCTCTGCACCTACGTCTATCCTATATCCTCCCACAACCCGAGTGGGTCTGGAGGTCTCTGCCGGTCCTCAGTCTAGGGGACCTGAGTCGCTGCGGTCCACCCTTGGGGAGGATTTCAGCACAGAGGTCACCCTGTCAGCATGTCCGCTGTTGCTCCTGGCCCAGACAGGAACAGATCTCCGCTCTGGATTGTCTCCCTCATGTAGGTCCTGCTCTGAGGCAGGCCTCTGCTCTCAGCTGCCCTCTTCCTCCCAGACCAAGGTCTAGGCTTCAGACGCTTGGCTTCCTTCTGCTCCCCCGCCACACGACACAGCCGAGCACCCACTGCTGCATGGTGATTCCGCCTGGCCCTATCGTTCCACCCCTTCACACACCCACTCACATCCACAATGAGGAAGTCCAGCCAGCACCAGGCATTGGTGAAGTACTTCTTGAAGCCGTAGGCCACCCACTTGAGCAGCATCTCCAACACAAAGACATAGGTGAACATCTTGTCGGCATACTCCAGCAGAACCTTGATGGTCTTCCGCTCCTCCAGGTAGATGTCCTCGAAGGCCTGTGGGCAGGGCACACGGGGGGGGGGGCTCAGAGTCCAGATCGCTGCCCAGCAGTTCACTCTGCAGGGGACATCGTTTCTAGCAACACCTGCTGCTTAGGAGCAGGGGCATTGAGGTGTGTCTCTCCATCAGTCATGGATGGGCCAGGCTACTGGTCCTCACTGTAGGTGGAGAGCCAGATGTGTACTCCCTCTACGCTAAAAACAAGTGTCAGTTCTGGGCTAGCATACTTTAGGGTCACGTTCCTGGCAGGGCTGGGTGCTGAAGGCCTGTAATCCCAGCTACTTGGGAGGCCGAGGCAGGAAGACCATAAAGCCTGTCTTAGCTGAAGAGACATAGAGGAGGAGAGGGGATGGGGAGGGAGAGATACCAAGGCTATCTTGGGGGAACTTTGTGAGATCCTGCCACAAAATAAAAAGTAACAAAGAAACAAATGCTGGGTTATGCCTCTGTAGTAACTGAGCATGTGTGAAACTCCAGGCTCCGTTCCCAGTGCAGGAAAAGGAAAGAAGTAAATAGTTTGAATTAAATAAATAAACAAGATAAATAAAACAATTAAATTAAGCTTTCCAAGACTTGCCCATATTAAGCCAGAGAGAGGGAATAGGCACTCAGCTTGCAGCCTTCCACCGGACAGTGTGCAAAACGGCTCCGGTCTTCCCTCCGCTTTGTATTTATTGTATCCTGTGTATTTACCACTTTCCATGGGAATTTATGCTGGACTCCATTCTAACAACGACGAAGATTTCCCTCATAATGAACACACGGAGATAAACAAAGCCCAGCAGCACTGGGCCCGAAGCAAAGTTTCTGTCTTTTTGGAAATACAGATATCCAGACATTCCCCCAAATACCAGCCACATGGCGCTTATTATTTTTTTAATTGATTGATCGATCGATTGATTTCTTGTTTTGAGACCGGGTCTCACTGCATTACCCTTTCCGGCCTAGAATTTGCTCTGTAGACCAGGATATCTTTGAACTCACAGAGATCCACCTGCCTCTGCCTCTCAAGCGCTGGGATTAAAGGTGTGCGCCACCACACCCAGCCAAAGCAGGATTTTCGGAAAAATGACTTCAAACCCTCTGGGCTCTGACATCCACGACAAACAGGCTCTCCGCAGAATCTCGGAGTCAAGTGTGTCCCCTCAGCCTGGAGCTCCTGCCTGGTACGGCTGAAGCTCTGGCATCGCCTGTCCCCAGCACACTAAAGACAACAAAAGATTTCCCCCTTTCCTCATTCCTGCCTCTACCCAGCATCCCTCGGGGCCACCAGGGACACTGCCACATTGCCGGGGCATCCGGCTGCCCTTCCTCCTCCAGCTACCTCTCCAGCCAGAGCGTGCTCTGAGGCTCCCTGTCTAGGCAACATGTCACCAGGGAGCCTGGGAAGCTGCGTCCTTCAGTCACCCCTGGGTCCCTGTCTGACTTCAGGGCCTCTGATGTGGTCCAGGGATGAGAACGGTGAGTGGTGCCTGGGGACACACAGCTGAGGCCTCTGGATGGCTAATTGGGCCTGTGTAGGCAGCACATAGCACAGTGCAGGCCCTCAGATGGACTTGGAGGCTTCAAAATAAAAGTGGGGATCTAGTTATCTACTTATATCTATGTTTTTATTTTTTTCTGAAATAAAAATATATGCTTCTTATAAATCAAACAAGGCCTGGGAACATAGCTCAGTGAGAAGCATGAAAAGACTGTGTTCAAGCTCAGAGCCCCAAACAAATACACAAATAAAACATACCTGTGCAAGCACATATACAGACACACCCACACCCAAACAGAAATTATCAAAATTAGCATTTCTAATTCCACAATAAAAACAATGTGATTTTATATGATACATTAAATATTTGCTTTAGAACTGCTTTTTAAAAATACCTTATTTTTTTTTAAATCATGCATTTACGCCTGGGTATGTGCATGTAAGTGCAGTGCCCCATGAGGCCAGAAGATGGCATCAGAGTCCTTGGAGCTGGAGTTGGTGGTGAGCTGCCAGACATGAGAGCTGGACTCAGGTCCTCTCTAAGAGCAGTACAAAGCTGGGTGGGTGGGTGCCATCCCAGAGCTTGGGGTGGCGAGGCCCGAGGCTCACCAGTTCCAAACTAAGCTGGGGCTACATGTAAGACCCTGCCTCAAAAACCAGCCAACTGGGCTCTGTAAGATGGCCCAGAGGATATGGGTGTTTGAGATCCTTGGGACCTACATGATGGGAGGAGTGAACCAAATCCTGTCAGCTGTCCTCTGATCTACACACACACACGCACGCGCACACACACACACACGCACACGCACGCACATACGCACACACTCCACGGAATGTGTGCACAAAACAACTTATTCTGAGCCTTTACTTTTTTAAAGTGAACACATTAACACCTGCCAGTCTTCTCGAAGGAGGCACATCTCAGATGTTCCCAGTTTACCAGGGGCAACACTAAAGCCAACAATGTGTCTTTCTGTTGAGGACAGATTTCTAGACTCCTGATGTCAGAACAAAGGTGTGGTTTGGGGACAGACTGTGAGCAAGCCCCGGAAGAGATCAATTTACAGCCCACCCACTAGCACCCTATCCTGGTTTGCTGTGTGCTCTAATCTCGCGGATCATAGTTCATTATCACAGCACTGAATACAGTTATATCATTGGTTACAATATCCACTTAGTACAGTCTTTGATATTGTATTAAGAAAGCCATCGCCGGGATAGAAGAGATGCCCCAGTGGTTAAGAGCACTGGCTGTATTTCGAGAAGACCTGGGTCTTGTTCCCAACACTCATATGGTGGCTGACAAACTCCTATAACTGCAGTTGCAGGGGTCGAATGCCCTCTCCTGGCCTCTGCAGGCACCACACACACACAGTACATGCATGCGTGCAGGCAAAACAACAAACACAAAAAGAAAAGTCTTTTTAAAAAATGCCCTCACCTATTCAGAGACTAGAAAAGAATCTTCCTTCCCCTGCTTCAAAGTTTTGTGGTTTGTTTTTATATTATGATTTCAAAAATCCTAATATATATTTGGTAAAGAGTAAATATACATTTTAATAAAAATTTCTCAGTGGCTTGTCAACTGCCCCAACATTTTATTAAAAAAATCCGCATAAAATCCACTAATCAGAAGTCAATATTACTGTATGTGACATTTCTCTGTTTGCTTAGCTCTAACCCAGGCCTTTCTGCTGTGAGTTTGTTTTCTTCCTCCTGGTGCTGGGATGGAACTCAGGGCCGGATCTGTTTCTAGACACATGTCCAGTCACTGAGCCATGTCAAGCCCTTCCACTGTTCCTCGGATACTCTCTGTTCCCATGGCCTTCCTTTCTTTTTGGAATTTTTCTTTTGTTTTTGTTTGTTTTTCAAGACAGGGATTCTCTGCAGCTTTGGAGCCTGTCCTGGAACTAGCTCTTGTAGACCAGGCTGGCCTCGAACTCACAGAGATCCGCCTGCCTCTGCCTCCCGAGTGCTGGGATTAAAGGTGTGCGCCACTGCCACCTGGCGGTTTGGGGGAAATTTTGAAGATAAATTTTACTGATATTTTTATCAAACTCACTCAGCTCTATTGTTGGAATGCAGTGCTATTTTATTCTCTCTCTCTCTCTCTCTCTTTCTCTCTCTCTCTCTCAAGAATTACTTTTATAATTTGTGAGGTGGGGATGCGGGCTGCCATAGCGTATGTGTGGAGCTCCCCACAGAGGACCTGGTTGTCCGGGGGGACGGGGCCCTCAGGCTGGGTGTAAGCAACTTTGCCTTTCTGAGCCCTCCTGCCAGCCCCGCGTTACCTGTCTGGGGACTAATCTGGAGTCTTCCTACCTGAGACCACAGTATGGAGTTTGTCTGTCTTCACGCTTTGCGAGATTCCATACTTACTGAACAGACCTCTCTCTTACACTCTGTCACATTTGTTACCAGTTATTTTTATATTTTCAACAACAGGAAAAGAATAAATAGCAGAGAAGTATTACAGTTTCCATCATATACGACAGTACCAACGTAACAGCTCTTCGTATCTGGCTTTACAGTTGGCTGTTTTTTATAGATGCAATTTCAAGCTCCTTTCTTCCATTAGTTAAAAAAAATTTGTGTGTTTGTGTGCACGGTATGTGTGCCATGTGTGTGTGGAGTTCAGAGGATGCATCAGTGGAGCGGTTTTCTCTCTCGGCTTCTACATGGGCTCCGGGAATTGAATTCAGGTCCTCCGGCTTGCGTGGCAAGGGCTTCCTCAGCTGAACCAGCTCCTTGGCCCATGTAATGTTTTTAATGGTATTATACTTTTCCCTGCATGATTATATTATCCACAAGTAATATTATTATTAATTTCATTTTTTCTTGCCACACTGAGAAGTGAACTCAGGCTTCATGCAGTGCTATATTTCTGAACTGCAGCCGCAGCCCCGCCTTCTACTGCTAGGATACCTTTTATTTTTATGTGCACGAGTATTTGCTTGCATGTGTGTCTATGTACTACATGCATGCCTAGTGCCCTCAGAGAGCACATAGGATCTCCTGGAACCGCAGTTACAGATGGTCGCTGAGAATTGAAAACAGACCTCCCGGCAGGAGCAGCAAGTGTTCTTAACCACTGAGCCATTTCTCCAGCCTTATCAGGATTATTTCTGTACCTTTTGTGTGTGTGCACTGCAACTGTGTGTGTTTGGGTGTTGCATGTGTATGAGTGCAGCGTATGCACACGGAGGTCACAGAGATAATTCTGGGTGTCAGCCTTCAGCTTCCATGTTGTCTGAGACGGGGTTTCTAGTTTGCTGCTGTGTGGGCCAGATGGCCCGCGAGCCTCGGGGGTTTTCCTGTCTCCACTTCCCATCTTGCTGAAGAAGGGCTGGTATCAGAGATGCGTGTAACATATCCAGCTTCCCATGAGTCCTGGGAACCCAAACTCGGGTCCTGGCTCAAGCACTCCACCCCCTGAGCCATTTCCCAGTCTCTCAGTCTCTCTCTCTCTCTCTCCTTCTCTCTTGAGATAGGGTCTCACGATGCAGCTCTGGC